GGCCCGGGCACCTCTCCGCCATTAACAGGGAGGGGAAACACAGACCAGAGACAGGTTTAATTCAGCCGAGGTTTTTCAGAAAGCGGGCTGGTTTTGTCCGGATCCACCTGAAAGCGCGTCCGCCGGGCCGTGAGACCACCCTGCCCCCCCCCCCCGCTGCAGCAGCAGGTCTACACCGTGAGCTGATGCTGGTGTGGAGGGAGCAGTACTACCGTGTGCATGTCTAATGAGGACGTTACATCATGCTGTCCACGTGGGCGCAGAGCGGCGTCTCTCTGAAGGCCCGGGGTGAACAAAGCCCTCCCGCCGCCACGGGCCCAGCGTGCAGCAGCCTCTGCGTTAGCTCTGTCTTCATCACGTGAACTTCATCAGTAGTTCACTTTCGTGAAAAAACGTGGCTGTTTTCCCTGTTTCTTCACCCTCCAGGGTCCCACCAAAAAACCTTGCTCTGGATTTCATTCCTGAAATGCAGGCAGCAGCAAACACCAACCAGATTTTGGTGGATTTGGGGCTTTCGGCGCCGCCACTTTTTTGCACAGGTTGCAGTTTTTGGCCTGGTGTCGGTGCAAACAGCCCCTAACCCCACCCCCCCCCCCCCTCCCCCACACCCCCCACAGCTGCACGGGTCCTGTACAGTGCCTGCACACTTCAGGGGCAGGTTTCACTTCTTGCTCTTACTCAGCCTCGTTTCTTTTTTACTTTTTCCATTCAGCCTTTTGTCCCCAAGTTACCTCTGAACTAATTCCTTTACATGTATGTTTTCTCATTTGGAGCTTCTCCTCTCACCGAGCCGCCGCGGTCAGGGCTACGCCATTAGCTGATCTGGCTCCATCCCTCTGATTTATCGTTCGCCCTCTCTCTCTCTCTCTCTCTCTCCCTCACACACACCCTGAGAAGGGCTGACATCTTTGTCTTCCAGAGCACAGATAGCCAAGGCCGAGCGCATTATTCCTCCATGGAAGTTTGCTGAGTGCATTAGCAGCTTTAGCGAGTAGCTGTCGGTGGATGGCTGGATGTGCTGTGGCCGTGTGAGTTTCTGCTGATCAATAGCAGCATGACGACACACACAGAGGTGCCAGCATAACTACCTGAAATCAGACCGTAAAGCAGAAAGGCTAAATGCTTATTTACTCAAACAAAACCTTTCTTACACATCTTTGGGTTTATATATTCATCAGATATGCAAATCCGTGTGGATGGTGAATATATGTCGATGATTAGTCATTTGTGAAATGATTAAAGAAAGTTCGAGGTGTGAAACTATAGCAGGTCGCTGGAGAACCGGCACAAACTGACAATCATCACTGAAAGTTGGTCCTACTGATATGAATCTCCAACTCTGCTGGTTTCCTTCCACTGGTGTCTGAGGCAGCAGAAAGAGGCCACCACCGTCCCCGCTCACTCCTGCCGTGAGCTGCAGTGTTTGTGGCTTTGCCTCCGACAGGTCTGAAGCAGTGCTCTAGTCTTTGTGTTAAACCAGCTGGAGCTGGAGTTTGTCTTGATCTGATGGTTCAGGCGTCGTGCATGTTGTTAGCAAACAGGAAAACGTTCATGTTTGAAGCATTATGCAGCGGTCAAGTGATATTTGTTATTTTAAGTTTATTAACAGAGGGGCCAAATGACTGATTTTTAAAGGAAGGAAATGAGCATCAATAATACACACAAAATTAAAACGAAAACCTTTAACCTGCATTTGTCTCAAAAAGCCAAGGACTCAATACAAGTGTGACTTACTGGAACTTTTAGAAATAAAGATCTGTGATCTGGGTGGTGTAAAAGCACAATGTGGGGCTTTTAGGAGGGCTTTTAGGTGGCCTTTTAGTTACTCCTGTCAAAACTCTAATCACATTTTTGGGGTGTGGGATTCTAAAGACTCCTGTTTCTTCCTGTTTTTGGAGGAACGTGAGCTTCAGTCCGGTGTCGTCGGAGGAAGTTTGAGGAGGGCATGAAATGAGTTTGACTCAGCGATGAGTCACCAAAGTACTACGAAAAACGCCCACCGTCCCCACCTCCACCCGGCTCATTCCACAGAGTCTAGAAGCCCTACTTACAGCAGCTTATTATCCCAGAGTCAACCTTTCCCGGTGCTTACTCACCGCCACACAGTGTGGGGACGCTGGCAGCCGGGGGAGGCCCCTCCACCCTAAGCTTCAGCTGTAGAGGAGTTTGTACCACAGCGAGGCAGCTTGGACAGAAAAATGAACACATTTCTCGGGTTTTTGGGTTTGGGAGAATCAGCTCAGCCATCCGGTGTGGAGCTGAGAGCTGTGAATTTGGAGCTGTGTATCATGTGCTGTGGGTGGCACCAGATTATCAAACATTTTGATTTTCTCCGTGGTAACAAAGCAGCACAAGCCTGTCGTAACGTGACCAGCAGACGCACAGATCACCGCCATCTGCTCGCTGCTCTGATGGCGCAAAGGGACGGAGCTCTGATGGCTTCTGGTTGGCATCGCCCGCAGTCACAGATGCAATTTTAGTCAAAAAAAATGAGAAGACGGGAAAAGAAAGAGAGAGTGGACTTTAACGATGTAGAATGAATTGTGGTGTCTGCAAGCTTGAAGAAGAACTGACATATAGAGCTACATTCATCCATACGTGTTGAGTTCTTTTACTAGACATTAAACCCAGAGCATCTTTTAAGTTAAAGTGACAAAGATTTAATAAGCTTTGACTTTTTGGCATTTTGAGCAGTATCTATATCTTGGATCAAAGTCGACATCTGTGCGTCAGGGCTGGTTTTTTTTTGTTTTATTCACTAAAGTTGAATAACTTCTATGCTAAAAAGGAAGCATTTTCAGGTTTTGCCTTTAAAACTTCTGCTGTTTTTGCCTCTTATTAGTCTGCACTGCTAACTGACTGAGCGGTGTATGTGTAGAGTCTGACACTGGGAAGCATTCAGGGGTTTTCAGGCTGACTTCAAAGCTGAAAATCTCCAGATTCAGCACTTTTAATGAGCTGCTATTCATAGATTCATGCATAAGATAAGAGAGAGCTAAATGCGGTGGCAGTTTCTTCTCGAATCCACCCTTCACAGATGCTGTATTAATATTTAAATCCTTTTATTTGTGGCCGTAATCGCCTTCTAAAGGCACTTGGTGGGACCGGGCCACTTTTCCCACCTCATGGTGGAAGAGATGGAGCTGTGGCAATGTAGCTGTTGAGTAGTAGAGATGTTCACAGCTTTTTTTTTAACAGACATTGAAGTTCCCGGCAGTGGATGACAAAGAACGAGTGATGCAGTCACACAGGCGGCCATCGTTATCAGCAGCGAGCACATCATGAGTCTCCAGTGAGTCAGAAGGGAGGAGCTGAAGGAAAACCCACTGTTTGACTTGTTTTTGAACCTGATGTAAGCTAGTAGTCACTGGTACCAGTTCAGCGTTGCTCTGTCCACTCACGGCTCTGCGTTTTGCCGTTGTTTCTCAAACCTCTGTCAGCCGCGGCCGCACAGCTTGCAAAGCCACCAAGAAAATTCCTCTATTTGTTTACGTGAGTGCTTCGTGTTGTGGGTTTGGTTTTTTTGCAATCACAGAAAAGCGAAGCCACAAAGAGCCGCCCGGAGCCCTCTCCCTCCGTAAGAAAAAACTCACAATGCTGCCTTGCCTCTCTCTCTTCTCACCACCAGGGCTCTTTGTGGCTGAGTTGGCTAACCCCGTTCACGCCGCCGCTGACGTCAGGTTGTCCGGGGCGCCTTTGTGCTCCGCTGCCTGAAAGAGGGTTGGCAGGAGGGGTTGTCACATCAGGTTAGGAGAGGGGGGGGGGGGGGGGGGGGAGTAAATGACCAAGAATGGAGCGAATGGAGAGCGTTAAATGGAAATATGAGGCGGCGGGCATCGAGTGCCCATGCAGCTGAGACTTTCAAACAGCCACTCATAGATTAAGTTGTCATGAAGCGGGTTATTGATCGCCCCGGCCGGCCAGTGTTTGCATTAACGTGCAGTTGTTTGGAAAGTTTGACCGGCCCGTGTGGGGGTGAGTCACGGGCGATTGATGGGCTTTGCGGGCAGACAGAGGCCCATTGTCATCCCCGCCCCGCGGCTTCCGTCAGGGCTTTCTGCCGGCCCTGCAGCAGCCCTCTAACAAAGGCGGCCATGTTTTGACAGGGGACTGGTTTAAGCCCTGTTATTCTGACCTCTGCTGCTCCGGCCCTGACCTTCTCCGGCTGCCTACAGTCACCGCGGGCCTGATGCTCGTGTGCTCCGGCTGTAATTTAATAGGTGGGACTAAGCCTCCGGGCTGCTCCGTGGAGGGGGGGGGGGGGGGGGGGGGAGGCTTCCCGTGGGGCCTCGAGGCAGGACGGTTACGCAATGGGTGCCTGAGTATTGTTTACTCATCTTCATACCTCCAGTTCAGAGGTCACCTCGTTTATGACCGGGAATCCATTACGGCAGCCTGTGTTGAAACGCTTCGTAACGACCAAGGAGCGGCGTGGCTGACAGGGCGGCAGGGCTCTGTGACTGGTTTAACAACCTAAAACAACCTAATAAAAAGTTCAGCTTCCTCATTGTGGCACACAGTTCAGTGCAGGGCTGTGGAACGGTCTGTAAGAGCAGGTTAAAGTCATTAGTCATTAGGTGAAGCTCACCTTTTGGACGTCGATCCCACGCCGGACTTTGTGCCTCCTGCTCCCTGAGTGATGAGTCACACCTAAAGTGAGATTGAATGCTGGATCGTTTCAGCGATCACTTTATCGAGACTAGTCTTGACTAGTCCAGGAAAATGTATCGTTGGTAAAGGTTTGATTGTATGTCGTGTATAACTTAACTAAAGCAAAGTCATTATGCGCTGCATAGAAAAAGGTCAAATGAAATCACAAAAATAGCAACAAAACAGGCAACTGCATGAAGGGAAACGTTGATTCACAGCAACAATGGCAACAATCTGTGCCCTGACACAGCTTCCTCCCCAACCACGCTGCAGCACATGACGGCCTTTATATAGACGCACCACAGCAGCACGATTCTGTTGGGTTTTCAGCCAAAAGCAACTGGTTCATAAGCGAAATTTTGACATGTTGTGCCTTTTAAAGTTTGGCATAGGAGCCAGCATCCATCATCTGGAGCATATGGTTGTCCAGCTACAAGATGAGAGTCTTAAACCATGTGAGCTTCTTTGTGGGACGTGTCTCAGTCAACCTGAGCCCCCAAAAACGCAGATCTTGTGTTACAGTGTAACATCCAGAATGTATTTATTTGATATAAATTCAATGCAAACTGTTAATATGAATACTGTTTGGGGCTGTTTTCCTAACAAACCAGTAACACTTAGATTATAATATTGATATAAATGTAAACTGGTAAATTGCAACATCGTGGCAACTTTCTTTGTGGTCACCAATCTCTGTCAGTGCCTATCCGATAGAAATTTAAAAGATCATCAAAGGGGAAAAGAATGGGATTTTGCCACTTCCTCTTCATCCCATCCTCTCCCTCCATGCTGCATCGCCAGCCTTCTGCGGCCTGCATCTCCAAGCGAGAGACAGAGGCCTTCACAAACAAAGCAGATTCTGCTGTTGCCATGGGAACTGGAGATTACATCACAGCTTGCTCTTTGCCCTCCTCTCCCTCCCTTCCACAGCTAAAGCAGATACCAAAGCTGCCTTCCACCCCTGAGAGTGACACCGACACATGACCGTGGGTGTCCATGTGGCCCCGGCCGGGAGGTGCCCCCCCCCCACGGGGCAACCTTTTCATTTGGTGGCATACTCCAGATAATTGTATCCTCGAGTCTAACGATTGAATCTATTTGAGTATTATGTATTATCAGTATTGTGGTCCCCAAAAAAAGGATCCTCTAAATTTGGTGATCCCCTTATTTTTATTGAAGTGACATAATGTGTAAGCATTCAGCTTCTCTCTCAGAGATGAGGTCCAGTTGTGCTTTTGTGTGAAATCCTTCTACAACTTTGTCACGGCTTGTCATAAAACACACATTTCATTGACTAAGAGCTCTGACTCAGTTTGTCGAGTGCTCAAGTTTACAACCCAACACCTGGAAAACCTTTTAACATTCCCACGATCGCCGGCTGTACTTCATAGGGATGATTAATTCTGGTGCATCCCTTTGTTTAGGCCCCTGATTGTTACCATCAGAGTTGTTTGAATCCCAGAGGGGGGAAAAAGTTTTTTGGGGGGTTTTAATAACTTTTTAATAATAACTCGTCCACGTGACGGTGCTGGGCCCCCTGCTTTGCTCTGGAACTGAATTCTGTGCTGAAAAAGAAAGCACCAGCGGGCTTTATCCTCAGAAAAGATGTGGAAAGATGCCCCTGCTGCGGCACAGTCCCGTTGCGGTTAAAGGGATTAAATCCTCCAGCCAGACAGAGGCCTGTCAAAACAAAACCAGCTTTCAGTGCTGTGGACAGCCAATCGGCAGCGGCCTCAGGATGATGTCAGTGTCCCCAAGTGGAGCTGGCTTCCCCGGGTGCAGGGCCTGTTGTCTTGGGTGTTGTGTCCTGAAGCCGTTTATTTATCTGATTAAATCCACTTTGTCTGCCATTCTTTCGCTTTGCGGCATGAAAGTCGTCTTATTTGATTACTAACCATATTTTCAAATTTGATTGAGATGAATAGAACTGGTAAGCATATCCTTCTGTTACCCCCCCCCCCTCCTTTTTTGTTTTGTTTAGGTCACAGAGCTGAACGAAGCACTGTCCAATGAGGAGAGGAACCTTCTTTCCGTTGCCTACAAAAACGTGGTCGGGGCCCGGCGCTCCTCCTGGCGCGTCATCTCCAGCATCGAGCAGAAAACGTCGGCCGACGGTAACGAGAAGAAGATCGAGATGGTGCGGGCCTACCGGGAAAAGATCGAGAAGGAGCTGGAGGCCGTGTGCCAGGACGTGCTCAACCTCCTGGACAACTTCCTGATCAAGAACTGCAACGAAACGCAGCACGAGAGCAAGGTCTTCTACCTGAAGATGAAGGGCGACTACTACCGCTACCTGGCCGAGGTGGCCACGGGGGAGAAGAGGGCCGCGGTGGTGGAGTCCTCCGAGAAGTCCTACAGCGAGGCCCACGAGATCAGCAAGGAGCACATGCAGCCCACCCACCCCATCCGCCTGGGCCTGGCCCTCAACTACTCCGTCTTCTACTACGAGATCCAGAACGCCCCCGAGCAGGCGTGCCACCTGGCAAAGACCGCCTTCGACGACGCCATCGCCGAGCTGGACACCCTCAACGAGGACTCCTACAAAGACTCCACTCTCATCATGCAGCTGCTACGGGACAACTTGACGCTGTGGACGAGCGACCAGCAGGACGACGAGGGCGGGGAGGGCAACAACTAAAGCGCCCGGAGCCTCACTCTGCCAGAACAACACGACGCGCGCTCACAAATGATGACAAAAATAATAACAATAGGTAAAAAGTTCTTAATTTAAAATTAAAAAAAACAAAAACGGGCGGGTGGGGTGCGGGGGCGGTGGAATGTTGGCGGCCAGTTCAGCCGACGCTACCGATGCTGTTCTTTATTTTTCCACAAATTTAAAGTGAAAAAAAAATGGAGGAGGGAAGGCAAGTTTAGTTTGAGAAATAAGCTATGATTAAAAGAAAAAAAAATTCTGAAAAAAAAACATGGAGACCCCCCTCCTTGACAGCCTCTGCGGCGTTTGCCAGACGCGATTTTTAGCGGGAAGAAGCTGGTCCTGGTCAGAGCGGGGCTTTGTGGGGCGACGCCCCCTCAGAGACGGGCAGAGACTGGTCTGATCGCGCAAATGAAGCTGAGCTGTCTTAGTGCATCCAGCAGGGGGGAGGCGGGGGCGGGGGGGAGGTGGGGGGGGGGGGCGGGGGCAGGGGGCCTTCGATGCTTGAGCAGAAAACTAGCGTAACCTTGAATGTCACGGCCTTGCTTAGTGAGAGGGACGGGCTCCTGAGCTGGGGCAGGTACAGAGAGGGGTAGGACTTCCATCACCAACCGGCATCTTTAGTTGCACCGCACCCATGATCGTCGAGCCAAACGCTGGTTGTCTCTGTGGTTGAAGATAACATGGTAAAAAACAAAAAAGAAGTTTCTGTTTGCTTTGTGTCAGGTGTGTGTCCGGCTCAGTCACACAGTCAGCCATCCTGTAACTTAAGATGCAAACTCATAAAGTAAACTTAGTGCAGCTTGTCCTTCTCATGTGCTGATGTGCTTTCCTAAATAAATTAACTGTTTTTGGACACCTAATTCATATTGTCAGTACTGTCATTACTGTAACGACTTCTATTGGCTCCTTATGTTTGTGGGGAACAATTAGACTGAGATAGCTTAATAAAAATTACTGACCACTTTTGAAATGTGACTGAAAACCCTTCTGCAGGTCGTGGCCCTCTTGGCCACAAATCAACACGATCTCTCCGAAAGAGGCGCCACAGACTCAAATAATGAGCCACCGATAATTTGAGCACATGCATTGTAAAAGTGGAAGCTGTACAAGCAGATTTGAGGTTTGTGGATTTACTTTGTCGTCGGTTTCTTCTGGGTCAGGAAAATGCACTTGCCTATCATACTGTCTCTTCAGTGTAAGATGATAACTGCTCCAATATTCTCCATACTACAATATTGTGCATGCTGGTGATGTATTTATACAGTAGCTTCAATTTATTAACTTATACTGTAGATGTTATGTATTCATATGAACATGGAATTATTAGACCTTAATCAGATTATTTTCTATTTCCTTTTCTTGCAATTGTTAGCTAGACCTTATTTTAATCTGTGTTTTCTTTACTCCATTTGCTGAAGTACGCTATACCAAAACAGTGATTGTTAACAATAAATTGATCTGTTATGGACTTCGGTATGGTGACATGCATTTATTGATAGGGGAGGCTAGCAGTGAGGATTGCCTTTCATTGCTCACCTAAATGTCATGAAGGAGATTCTTTGGCTGATGGAGAAGCGAGGTGCACCTTCTTCAGGACGATTTAAGAGGAAAATCTGGTCATTATCAGGTCTTGAAATGAGGACAATTCCAGCTCAGATGGATAATAGCACATCTTAATTATGCAGCCTGTAGAATCGCATGCAGCAGAAATCATCATGTGTGACTATCAGCCCCCTCCACGGTTCTTTCCACCCTTGCTTCAGTATCTGGAGGTTTGCAGCGTTTCTTTGTGCTGACCTCTCTAAGGGGCTACCGTTTGATGCTTATTTGTGTTTTTTTATGATGACTTTGCAAAGCGTGTTCTTGTCAGAGAGAGGCAGCTTTCTCCTGAAATGCCTCCAATCAAGCTGCACCCGTTCAGTCTCTTTCTAATAGTGCCGTCACGGCTTTAAAACCTTTAACATGCTAGCCGTGGTGAGTAGCGTGTGAGACGTAGCTTTTAGTTCTGAGTCTGGGCGTTAATTGCTGCGATGCCTGCTCTTAAGAAGATTACAACTTTACGGCTCTGAATAGTTTGAAAATGGCCTTTCCACTCATTCCAGATCGATGGGCGTTTTGTTGATGCACATCTGGATGCTCCAGACCAGCAAACTGAAGAAACATCTGCTGTCACAGAGGCGCTCACACTGATGATGGTGGTGAATGATGTGCTTTTGATTAGCAGCACCTGGCTGCTGATTGCCCTCTTAATTCCTGTTAAAGTCTAAATGAAACTAAATGGCTAAATGATGATTTAGTGGAAAACGTCAACGATTGTCCATCTGAGCTTTGATGTCCTCATTTTTATCCCCGCTGAGAACCAGATCACTTTGTGATGTTCTGATATGTAAAACCTTTCATCTCACGACCGTATTTGCCATTAATTCTGTTACATTTAATATTCACACCACAAAACAGGGGCGGCTGTGGCTCAGGGGTAAGAGCTGTCGAGGTCTCGGCAAGACATTGAACCCCCCCGTTGCCTGCAGGGCAGCCTCAAATGGGGCGCGATGTTCTGTGTCCAGTTTGCGTTGGGATAAATACGGCAGTGGCATCAGGAAGGGCAGTTGGTGCAAAAACTCCTGCCAAACCTACCATGCCAGTCCAGGGACCCCTGACGGGAAAATCAATATTCAAAACTCTCCATTAAGAATTCAACTTGAAAGAAATTTGATAATCTAGTAATATAACTATTTAGCAGACATTGCTCTCCGTTATCTCTGGCAGCGCGTTCTAGATCCCAAATAGTTAAAGAAAGAGACCAAACTTTTTTACTTCCTCTATTCTCCTTTAGATCTGTGAGGTGTTGCTGTGTAAATGGCACCTATCTAAAGAGGAAGAAGTAGTGAGTTCCTTAAAAGAAACACACCATACAGTTTGGAGGGTGGCGTGGTTCAACATGGTGGAAGAAAAGTGTGTGTAAATATATCTACCTGATAGATGCGTTACTGGAAATGTGCTGTGATTCAAAACTACATTGGTTTAAACACCACAGACTCCTAGCTCCAGGGTTCTGTGGGAGGAACCTGAATCATCACCGGTTTTCAAACCTCGGGAGAGGTCATCTTCAGCGGAAATGAATCTCCTCCCTCTGGGATGTGTAACTGAATAAAATGAGATAAAACACAAATTCAATGATCGGACAGTTTTGCATTCAAAAGTAGAAGAAAGCGAGATGACAGATTAAATACATCTGACGACATGGAAAGAGCCTCTTCCTATTCATGCGCCAGGTGGCATTGGCTCATTTGAATCTTTGACATCGGGGATGGAGTTACTGCCCACACAGAGTTATCAATGAACCGATTACACTGATCAGCAGAGGGCAAATCTTCCAACATTAAAAATACAAAAGAAATAATTTATTTTCTGATAATTATAACAAGGGCAGAGACTCAACTACAAATCATTCAGCCAAAAATGCTTAAAAAACTAAAACATGAATCACAAAAACCCATAAGACAAAAATGGGAGAAAATACCAACTGAGATCACTACACAAGATAAATTAAATACCAACCAAATAATGAAACCACAGAGGGGACCAGAAACTCAAATAAATAGAAAATCAGAACATGCACAAAGCATCACAACACAATTGATTGCAGCACCAGCACAGGTCAGCAGATTGATGCATATTCATGTCATTAGAGCCACTAATAATCCCTCTGACTCAGATGAGAAACATATGTTAGCATCACTCACACGCCGCCATTCTTACCAAAGCGTGAATCAAAAGGCGTGCCCTGAATGGAAAAAGTCCTCTTAAACTACGTGCCAGTGAAGACAAGCCAGCCGAGACATTCTGTACCTGAGAACAATGCAAACACCTGATTAACCCCAGAATGGCTGCTCTGAACACACTTGATATGATCAGTCAGATTAACATCTTCAGCTGCACATGGAGAGGTAATCATTGGAAACAGCTGGTGAGCGCTAATTGGTCACCGGGCAATCAACACTGGCACAATCCAGAGCAGTTGCTAAGCGACAACACAGACACTCACACACACACGTATGCCTTTAATCAGAGCCCTGTGCAGGGGTTCACACCCAGTGAAGACACCACTCCTTTGGTAAACTCACCTTATCTTTTATGATGCTACAGATTGGTTTGATGATTCACTGGGTCGGCACATGAACTCTGTAGAGGTGACTATTAGATTTCGATTGAACTAGATTTAAATGTCATTGATTGCTTTTGAGTTACAGAAAGATTTATTGTCACACCGTCCTAACTGAACGACATTGGGGTGATTGCTTCATGCTGATCTGCAGCTGTGTGTGAGACTATGGAAGGCACCACTGCCACACACCATGAAAACATAAAAGGCTGAACATCGGTAATCTGTCTGAAGTGGCCCTGTGAGTGTTTTAGACTTTGAGAGATGAGCTAATGCTGCCAAGCCCTGCTGGGAAGCCCGCCCTGACCACTGTCTGCTGTTTCTGTCTTATCACTGCTGGACTTTGGTCGTCTTCCGGCTCTGTGGTGTCAGCACTCAGGCCTTGTCTCACCATAGTGCTCCGCGTCAAAAAGATGATTTAACCCCTTCAAGGCCTTGTGCATCAAATTTGATACATACGGTTTCAGAAATGTTTTGCATATGAGACCTTTTACATCATTTAATGGTAAAAACTTTGCTCAGACATGCCAGATAACAGTGTTTCCAAAACAGACCCAGTTTTTGGGGGGTACGTTTATGCTTGTGGTCTTGATTTCCTTTCTTTCTTTTTTTTTTTTTTTTTTTACTGAGATCAAATTTTTGTGTGTTGTTGTGACATTATAGCTAAAAAGCATCTGCCACCAGACCCCATGGCCTTGATCAAACTGACCCACATTCCCAGACCAAGTCTTGAGGATTACCTTCTGATTTTAAACTGAGCGTGGGCGTGCATGGTCAGTTCAAGCTCTGCCCAGCACTGAGATGATACAGTGAATGTAAAAAAAGAATGGATAGCCCACTTATTTGTTGTTAGTCAGAAGGAAGCGGATTGTCTGGTATTCCAACTACTTTTTCAAATGATATTCTTGTTCCAAGTAGTTGATATTTGCAGAATTTCTTAAATTGTCTGTGGTTTATATTCATTAAGATTATACTGGATTATCTTTGTAAAATGCTTCTCTGTTGGTCGATCTGAAGGAAGTTGAGGTCAGAGATAAATCCAATCAGCAGCGTTGGAGCTTGCTGCTCTTTACTCAGAGCGCTCCGAGCTTAAGGGCCGAGAGCTGCTGGATTGAATAATGACATGCATAATTTAGGCCGGCATTAAAGTGGAATGAAATGCTGACTCAATTTTTAACACTAAGTGGTTCAGAGACCACTGGTTTGTCCTTAAGCAGTATCTCTGTGTGTATATTATGGATTATATAATAGGATGCGCAGCAAATGGACACAGTTACGCCTCATACAGTCGTGTTACTGGAAAACAGAAACCAACCTAATGATATCTGAAATGAAACCAGCCAGTCACTGCAGGTCAAGAGCCATAGACAAAACCTGCTGTCCACCCTGTGAGACCATACAACACGCTGAAGGCCCAGTACATAGCAGAGCACTCTATAAATAGACATCCCCTGCAGCTTTGGAGTCGAAAGCAGAGTTAGTATGTGCATTAGCGGCTGGCACGCAACGTGAGTGGCTGCAAGTTGACGGGGAGGAAGAAAAAGAAGTGATGGAAACGACCAACCTCTCAGACCGTCATCAGCTGTGCAGATTTATTTTCACCCGCACAGACGACGAACTAAAAGGAGATGACCACGTTTAACATGTATTACACAACCGCTTTCAAGCAGGCAGCTGTACATTGTATTGATCGTGTAGTTGTGGAGGGATTGCCAATGACTCCTGTTGGCCTGGTTAGAGAAAATGTATTTGTATGTGTTTTTTATTTTATTTCATTAGAGTATCTTTATATAAATCCTAAATAATTCATGCTAGATGTTACATTTTTTGATCAGCCTCTTCCCTACTGTCTGCACGTGAGTCCACTTCCTCCACTAATCCAAACAAAATGCTCTGTGTCAGTCTTTGTAAATTAATACCTAAAACTAGGAGGAACCGAAGGGAGAAGGTGAAGAGAAGACGGGGAACAGTGAAAGGATTGGTGAAGTTACCAAAGGAGTGAACAAGTGAGAACAGGTGAGAGGATCTGTAATCAAAAGCAGGTGCAACACACAGGTAAGGAAGTCAGACTAGATAGGCTAAACAGGAAGTAATTCAGGACCAAAAAGGGAAACCATAATTCAATAACTGAAAGAAATTATGACACGGCAAGACAGAACGGGTCATTGTTCCTTCAAATAACTGAAAAACACACAAGCCAACCACATGGGGGCACTCTTCCACAGATGTCATTAAAACTAAAGACAATAAACTAAGTCTTCAGGGGCTTTTGAAGTCCAAACATGTCTAGTATTTCTGCAGATGGTTTACTTCCCTTGCCCAAGTGGCATCCAGGCCTGGTGAGATTGTTTTAACTGAAGTTGCTCAGTAAAGAGGAGAGCCCATCTTCATCAATTATGTATTCGACCGGTTATGAATTATTCATCTGAAACATCTTTTATGATGGAATTATGTGATTTGGGAGTTATGAAACATTTCAGTGTAGACTCACAATGCAAATGGCTGAAATCTGATATAATGGACTGGCTCAGCTTTTCTCCGGCTGGTCAGGTATGGACCCACACAAACAGAGACGAGGCACAAACTGCCCACATCCCTCACCAGGTCTACGCATCTTACTCCATCAGATAAATTATTTAGCATTAGAAAACTACATCATCAAGGAGTTATTACTGCCTTGTTTTCAGAGATGTAATAAAAGCAGCTCAGAGGCGTCCCACATGGGGTGAGGCCAGCTGATGGTCAGCGGGACAAAGAGAAGAAAGGACACACGGCATCTTCTGAACTCTTCCTTTATTGTTTCAGTGGCAGAACGGTTTGTTTACAGGACTACTTCTTTGCCACGGCGCCTCTGCTCTCCACGTTGACGGGAATGGTGGTCTCTGAGGACTGGATGGCTGGCCTGGCCACGGGGGCCTCCACGGTCAGGACCCCATCAGGGGACAGGGAGGACGTCACCTTGTCAATGGTGGCCGTGGGCGGCAGCCTGCCGGGGAGCAGAGACACAGTCAGAGACACAGTCAGGCACCCGCCTCTGCTGGGCTGTCAAGATGTGACAGAATACAAATCCCATCCGGGGGAAGCATGCTTAACGGCCCCTGGATGGCAGCAGAGCCTTACAGAACTGAACATCCAATGTAAAGGAACGACCACTAGGAGGCTCTTAGAGCTAAGACTAATCAAACACAGGCATTAAGAGCAGGCAATCCTTCACAAACTGGACCCGAAGAGCCTCACAGCAGCAGAAAAACTCGACTAGAGAACGCTTAACATCATTAAAGAAGCTAAAAGCGCATCAATTTCTGGGAAAAAGCTGGAGACCTCTTGCCTGGTCAGTACACTCGTCTCATCAACCAAACGTCTCAGTAATAAAAAGGACGAGAAGCAGTCTTTTTCTCTGATGATGAACCACTTACGTGTATTTCCTTGTGAAGCATCTGGACACAAAGCCGTGCTCATCCTTCCTCTCTTCGTGCTTTCCTGTGGACACAAACAACATTTACTCATTTTTCAGCTTTAAGGACAAAAATGCCCACTTAACCTGAAAGCATTGAGTGGACAAAAAGAAAGATGGTGAATGATTGAGAACTGCTCCGTGAAATCACCAGTCTGCTCAATCCAGTCAAATCTTATCAATGATAAAAAAGTAATTTTTTTTATTACTGCTATATGTTAAAAAACATAAGCCAAAGCATATAAATGCATATGCTCTTCAGCAGTCTTCCCGGCTAACGCTACACAAACTCCTGCTTGGCCTTGGTTAAAAAACCTATAATAACATTGTGGATCATTAATGGTGCCCGATGACACGACCACTCAATAACACAGCTCGCAGCATTTTTATGGGCCTTTTCCGTAGATTCACTTAGCCAAGCACACAGAATATGCGTTAACAAGTGCAATGACCCTGGAAACATTTCATTAATCTGAGGCGACCTGTCAGGAAATATCGACTCAGAGGGATATTTAGATTGATATTATTGACCTAAAAGCAATTCAGAACACTCGTGAGCTGAAAACTGAAAAAGGTAATGCGATATTATCATATAGTTATATAGTAATTATATTTATTAACTCTAAAGCAAAGCATTTCCTAAAATGTGGAGATGTACACTGCCCACAAAGCAATGATCATGACCTCATCAGTAATCACACATCAAACCAGCTCCCATTCCTCTCAACATAGAACCCTCACTGGGCCTTATCACTCATCCGCTCATCCCTCTACACCCTAACTGGAAATCCATGTAAGTGTTTGCTGTGGCAACGGCCTGATGGAGGCCACCATCTCTTCTCTGGACTCTGTAACGGTGACAAGTGGCTCTGGCTGTGCCAGGCAGGCTTTTTCCAGTCTGCATGACGGGCCATCAGTTCTGAGCACGCTTTAATCTAACCCAGCACATTGTGCTTTGGTGTGTGTACAGACGTCTCATTAAGGAGGGTATGTCATCTTTAAACATGAGGTGGCAAATTCTCCCTGGACTGGATCACGGGCTTTGTTTATCTCTGGACTCCTCACCAGGTCCAGTTACCGGTCCAGCCTGTTGGCCACAGACAGGACCGGGGAGCTGGATAAGATCCAGCACTCCTTTTAAAGTAGCACATACACTGACTGCGATTATTTTTGAATGACAGAGACTTTACAGAGCCTCAGAGTGAAAACATGAATACATGAATGGAAAAATCAATAAAGTGAATGTAAAATAACTGATAAATATAAATCATGCGATAAATAATAAATAAATCTGACTCACTGATGATTTGTTGGTTTATTTATGAACCTATTTTGATCTTACTCAACCTATTTCACACTATTTAACATAAGTGCTTTATATTCATTTCAGTACTCCTACATCAAATCATTTAACATTTTCAATTTATGGATGTTTTTATTGATAATTTTTTTCCTTTTCGTTGTTGAAGATATAGTATTGCTTTTTTAAAGTGTTGTCTTTGTGTAATTAATGATGCATTAGAAATGGGAAATTAGATACATAAGTATCAATACATAAGCAAATACATATTAAATCAAACTTTTAAATAGAAATGATGTTGCTTAACTTGTTTAATGAGCCATTTAGATAGTTATTTTTTATTTTGATTCTGGTAGCTTCAGAAGTAAGCATGGACAGAGAATGCATTCCATGAAAATAGATAAAAGTGCTCTCAGGAAGTGTGACTTTTTCCCTGTTAGTGCAGCTCTGTTTTTGTTTTGCTTCCAGCAGGCTTTTTGCCAACGTTCCCCTCCCATGTTCTGCATCAGATTATTGTCTAAAGATGTGATGTAACTCTGTAGGCATGTTCCTTGTACTTTCCTGAGTTTTCTGCCCTCTGACCTTCATCAGTTCTTTTTCAGCACTCTTGCATATTATTTTGCTCTAAAAACAGAGACCCCTCTGTGCCTTTCTGTGACCATTTCTCTCAACCAAACCTCAGCGGTGGATGGGTGATGGAGGACCGAACGCTCACCTGAGATTTCCAACACGCCGTCCTTGGTCTTGACCACCAGCTCCTCAGGTGAGAAATGGCTGACGTCCAGGGACACCTTCCAGTTGTCGGGCGTCTGGTGGATCTCGGACATGCCGCTGCTCATCTGGCGGGACAGGGCCCGGTGGGGGTGGGCCATGGAGTGGCTGGGGTACATGGTGGGGGTGTGAGGCATCACGGTGGCCATGTCCGGGCCCAGGAGGGACGGCCTCAGGTACCCCGGCCAGTGGCTGCTCGGGAATGTGGCAAAGTCTTCGGGCAGGGCGGGCATGCCAAAGGCCTGGTCGAAGATGCGGCTGGCCTGGTGCCACTCCCGGAATGGGTCCCAGCTCGGGCTGCGCATCATGGTGAACGGGATCCGTCTCTCAGCCATTTAGACCTGTGTTAAGGCAGTGGAAGTTAGAATCCCCCGGTCGGTTCCAAACTCTTCTCCTGAAATGCTGGAGTGTGGCTCCGCAGAGAGCTTTTATACACCCTGATACCACCCCAGCCAGCTGACCCCTCCCCTCTGGTCAGGCCCCACCAGATCACACCCCCTGAGTGCCTTGGAAACTACTAGAATGTCTATTTGTGGCGGACGTAAGGCTCAACTGGAATCCGGCAGGAAGGCCGTCCCCAACAGCTGCTCACCACACCACTGAACCCTCCTCCCACCCCCCAACCCACCGCCCTGTGAGTAATCTGTCCTCCCCCCTCTCAGCCCTGAAGAGCCAGAAGGATCTAGTCACTGTTGTGAGCCTGTCCCATTAAAGACACACTAATCACAACAACTTTTATAGATGGTGATGCACACATGGGGGGGGGCTTGAGCTCAGACTTCAAAAGTAAAGTTGAGAGTCATGAAAAATGTACTCAAATCCAAAAGGCACGCCTTGAATATTCAGCCATGAGGTGATGTGTGCTTACGTCGATTATTATAGAGGTCACAAAATTTTGTTGTACTGCCCCGTTTTTCTACAATAAATCTGCTGAGATTCTAAAGTTCCATCTCATGTCATATATTATCAGTAAAACTTGATATTTTGTGAAGTTATTCATTGAAATGTGTGAAAATGTAGTTAATAGTAGTTAAGAGTAGTTAATAGAACACGGAAATCATTCCCAGGAAAATCTGGAACCAACGGGGGCAGAAAGCAAATCAATTTGGGGCGGCTTTAAGCGGTTTGAGAAACAAACGGCATGAAGCTGAAGATGTAAGCATAAATCTATTGAGGTGGTTGAAGGCCCAGATTAAAACGAGGACCCCATTGTTCTCTGGCAGGCGCTGAGAGTTTAGTTTCTGCTGCCTGCCCCCTCCCCACTGCAAAAACTGTGTCTTCCTCTCAAGGTGCTAACTGTCTGCATTGAATTGTGAACAGGACTCCATCCCCCACTGAAGCCAAACTGCAGTTTGAATGACCTCTGACCAGCCCAACATTACGTGTTGCTTCCTGTTCTTTCTCTGGTCCTGAAATAATATCTAATTTTTGAAGTAAATTTAAGTAATGTAAGTCATGTTTTACTTCATGGACTGAGAAACCATTTTTTACTTTAGATAGTATGTAGCCAAAAATCAGACGTACACGGTCGCCTTATTTTTTCAGTGGATCCCAGAAACTCGCTCTATTCGTCATAAAATTACTCATTTTAATAATGGCCAGTCATAATGGGATTGGGTGTTTTTCTTCTGAGAAACTCTCCTTTCACAAATCTGCTGCTTGCACTCTCCCTCTTTTGCTTTTTCCTGCAAAAGGCACCAGAGGTCACATCCTTTTCCGGGCCGCATTTGAAATGGTCCTAATCGACACCAGTGTTTGTTTTTTGTTTTTTGGTCGTCCGCAATTTCCACTTTCTGATGCACGGTGTTCAGGAGACAAACAGACTTCTTTTTTTCACCGTCAGCAAACCCCTTCCAGATGTGAACACCTGTGTAGATGGTGCCGAGCAGAGTCTTCTTGCGTTGAAGAAACCTGTTAGCTTTGGGGCTGGCAGGGAGACAGCTCAATGATTGGTCTGATCAATGTGTTTGTACTCATCAAGTTCACTCGACAACAACACATTCTCTGTTGGGAGACAGAAATGAGACATATTTCCTACCAGCATTAGACTGCACGCTGTTGACTTCCTCGAGAGAACAAAATCCCTCAAAGTCCTGTTTATAAAGTTAGCTTTAGAGATAAAGCGGTTAACTCACAATGCTGTGAGTATCTCTAGGAGGGAAAACTCATCCTGAGCAACTGCTTTGATCCGGACATTTAAACAGAAGGGAGGGCAGAGGAGATAAAACCATGGAGACAGCAGAAGGGAGACAATCAGCAGATAAGGTTTGACTGTATGTGGAGGTGTTAAATCATGAGAGACTTCAGGTGGCAGAGAGAACATCACATTATAAAGGAGTCAGACTTTAGATGAGATGACTGCGAAGGGCTGGAACTGCAGGAGGCAGGAAGCCTTTCAGGCGTGGATTAGGGCCTGAGATGTGTTTTGTGAAGAGATATGTGTTTCAAAACTATGTCTGATATAGAATCTGACAGATGGCTTTCAGGCAAAAAGAGAAACAGAAGACCAGGTTTAGAAAAAGATTCGATAAGAACCAAAAACCGATAAATCTGGTCCTGAGAGATGCTGAAAGTTTGATGTGTTTGAGGCCAGAAAAACAGAAAGACATGAAAAACCTCACAGCCCGTATCGTTTCAGAGGCTTCCAGACGGATGGCTTTTTTGTTCAAAAGGTGCTCCATTGTCCTCCACAAATGGAGCATTTTTACACGTTTCTGCTAAATCTGCGGCTGAATGTGGTTTCTTGTCTGTTTTATTGTCCTTCTAACGGCTCGAGCTCGCTCCTCGGTGTCTGCTTGAATCCAGTCATTGTCCTGAAGGCTCCACGTGCTGTGTTGTGGGGGTTGGGATTCCATTTCAAAAGCTGTTCTTCTTTTTAAGAAACAAGCTGTTGAGTGTTTGATTTACAGCTTACAGCTTATTCCCATGTTCATGATTTTTAATATCAGCCACAAACTTGCTGATCTGATGCTTCTCGCGTTTTTTTCCATTTAACAAGTTGTACATTTACTCTGAGTGGTGATATTCAACACACCATCGTGCCTCCTTCATATTTGGCTTTCAATCATTTCTATTTCACGCGTTCCAAACTAATGTCTTTGTTGTCGAAGTGCAGATATTTCATTATCTCTTAAAACCGGTTTGGAGACATTGTGGCTTTGATGTGCGGATTGCCAAAGTCTTTGGACCACAAACCCCACGCGGCGCCAACACTCCCCTGAGCTGCCTTCATAAACAGAACTGCGATGAAGGCCATCAGCTCATGCACACTCATTTTCCAGCCCTGTTCCGTTCTGCGGCCCTGCTGGACTGTCCAGTCTCTGATGGTCATCAGCATACCGATGTCCACTAAACAGAGGAAGCTTTGGAGGAGAAGCGGTCACATCCCTTTCAGAGGAAGATTCGGCATCTGTGGAGTCTTCCCCTTCAATGTGAAGTCGACCTTTTCACAGTCAGAATCCCAGTCTGTAACATAGCCAAAGCCTCCAAAGCGCTCAGTCTCCTTTTTGCATGCAGAGCCATGTTTATGTCGAGCTCGAAATCTCAATAACTCTGAGTCGATCTGTTGATTAGTTAGACCTATTGGTGTCAACAAATTAAAGCACTTTGCAATGAAAAAAAATATATATATATATATATATTTGGAAGAAAACAAGAAGATTTCCCCTCAGGAGAGTAAAACCTATTTCTGACTGGCTGGTCATGCCTTGTTTTTGTCTTTGTTTGCTCTCTGTGGCCCTCCCCCCCCATTAGTGCCCCTTCCCCCTCTGTCACTTGGAATTTTCCATCACCTTTCTGTATAAACAAGTACCAAACATTTAAGGAGAGTCTGATTCTAAAATACTGTGATTCTAACATACTCTAGACGTATCTAAACATATATCACACGATCAAACCTTTCTTTAAACAAACGGCTGAGATGTCAATGTGTCGATATATAACAAAAATACCTCACAACTTATGGAATAACATCACCTGCTCAAACAAAGCGGTACATTTGTCTATATATCAAAGATTTTTGTCCATCTTTTCAATACGACTATTGTCATTTAGACATGTGCTCTGCAATAGGGGCAGAACTAACAGCCTAGAAGTCTCCTCATCTCTCCAGAATGTTCCACCCCCATTAACAACCCCCCACAACCAACCAAATCTGGATGGCTCCAGCTTCTTCTGCATTCAAGACACACATCTACAACAACACACACAGTACTAACTGCATTGTAAATGATATAATCTTAACTGGACCCTCAGTAAAATTTGGATTGGCATGATCTGAAATAAAATGCCTTTTATCAGAAAACTGACAAGGTTCTATTCAATTCAGTTGAAATTACATGGTGGCAAAAGACATAGAAATGAAATAACAGAAGTCGTCTGAAGTGTGGCAGAGAAGAAGGTGTCTTCACCATCAGCCTTGTCTGATGTTTTTTATGGCTGAGATGTCAATTCTCACTATGTGTCCATATATAACAAAAAGGCCTCACAATTTATTTAATAACATCACCAGCTCAAACAAAGCAGTACATTTGTCTATATATCAAATATTTTTGTCAATCGTTTTATTAAGACTATTGTCACTTAGACATGTGCTCTGCAATAGGGGCAGAACTAATAGCCTAGAAGTCTCCCAATCTCTCCAGAATGTTCCACCCCCATTAACAACCCCCCACAACCAACCAAATCTGGATGGCTCCAGCTTCTTCTGCATTCAAGCTACAGATCTACAACAACACAACATGACTGTGAATGTAACCTGGCGCAGTTGCAGTAAAGGTGTGAGATGTTGATACCTGACATCTGCCACAGCTGGGGAAGGTTTCATTCCAGTTAAGTGAAGTCTTTTCAGTTTTCAGCCATGCGCACCAGGAACTGGAAGCTTCTCACCAGTTCTAAGACCATGTAGATACTCAATGACTTTAATGCAATGACTGCACATGAAATCAGAGAAAAAGACGGGCCAGGGTGTGATTATTTCCATAGTTGTTTCAGTTTATTATCAGGTATAATAACTTACAATACAAAGAATAATTTGAACAAAATGGGAAAAGCTATACTTGGAGTAAATAAACAAGTTTGCAGAGTATCATAGTCGGGTTAAGTCTGCTTACGCTGGGAATGAAAGAGAGTGGAATGAGACCCAAGAATGAAAAGGAAGACTTGGGGGTGATCCCTGATTGCATCACCAGTCCGTTTGCCACCTTCACTATCACCCGTCTTCTTCTGGAGCACGCCAGGGCTTCTTCCGGGCCGGGGGAAGCCGAGGTGATGCCTTCTGCTGAACAGGCAGCGCCCCCGTGGCTCACGGCACTCTGGGGCTGCTCACAGGTGGTGCTAACACGTCACGTGTGATCCAGTTAGAGGCAGACAGCTTTCAGCACAGACGCAAACGCACGGGGATGTGTGCGTTCGGATCTGCTCCCTCCAAGAAAGGTTCAGAGGCGTCTTTCTTACGATCCCATGACACAGAATCTGTCATGGGGGGCGCTTTCTGGGAGCTAACACTGATCTGATGTGACGCCTAGCAAGCAGCAAAGTCATCGCCATTATGTTTTCCTCTCCCATATTCCAAAAAAGCTTATGGCAACAAGCCATCATAAGGACATCAGTCAAATTTCAACAACTTCATTCTTCCAACAGTAAGTTTAACCAAAGGCTGATTGTCTGCTGGTGAGTTGTTTGGATATTAAAGCTTCAGAGTGCATTAATTCTGCAGAAATCAGCGGAGGAGAGACCTGGAGGACGCCAGGTCATTTATTTTGTGCTCCTTCACTTCTATCCTCTCACGTATATTACATAACCACCCATAGTACAATGTACTCTGCAGTTAACATGTCTGGAGCTGGTCCAGGTGAGTGCATTCGGGTCCTACGGAAACCTTCTAGGATGCTTGTGACTGGATCATCCGGGATGCAGGTTAGCAACCGCACGTGAACGGGCCCGAAGAGCCGTTAGAGTAAGTTCCACTGGCTCTAGTCAGAACATTTTAAAAACGCAGTTTTGCGCACCGCTTGCTAATCTGAGAAAAGCAAGTCAAAAGTAAGCCCTCCTCTTCAGTTCAGTTTACGTCACTGAAAGCGGTAATCCCTTCTTAAAAGCATGAAAAAATGGCTTTACACGAATAAATTAAACAATAAATAGCCCAATAAATAACAAATAAATATGTCATAAATAGCTGAGGTCAACACATGTGCATGGAGTGTTTGCAGAGGTTTGCTGTAGAGCGGCCTGAGAGCAGACCACAGAGGAGAGGAGGATGAACACCATCAGTTCAGGAAGAGAGTAAAAAGAACTAAACACGTAGAGTAGCAGGCCCCCCCCCACCCAACACCAACCCCGATCCCACCCACACCCCGTCCACACCTGTGCACCCCAGAGGGGCAGGTGCTTTTCTTCCAGCGGAGTCCGTCCGTATGCTTCATGCCAAACAGACCTCCTCAGGCTAAAGGAAATATACAGTGCATAGTTTACAAAGCCGGGACAGAAGAGGGTTTACGTCTATACAGACATGTCTATACAAGAAGGATTGGATCATAGAAAAGCTCCTTTCTTTTTCGCGCCACCCGGCTCATCGCATTCTCCTTTCTCCTTTGTTTGTTGATCTCAGCGCTCAGGTAAAGTGGAAGTTTGATGGGGTGAGCACATAATGGTGGAATAACCGAACACTTTGATTCTCTGAAATGTACATTAACGTGTTTTCTCTTCTTTTTGTCATCTACTCACCCCCCCCCCCACACCTTTAAGATATATGTATTTCTATATATTAATACAGTATATAGTTGTCAACAAATTGATTTTTGGTTGCCTCGTGGAAGATGAAAGTGCTAACACAGGGAGAGATTTGTTCTTTGGGCTCAGCCAATTCCCCTCTGACGAGCGTGAACCTGTTTTTCTACGAACGCCTCGTCTACGTGAAGACATGATCAGTGGAAACCAATTGCATGGCGATGTGCTTTATCAAAAGATGTTTCTTTTTGATCCGGGCTCTGTACCGGAGAGCTGGCGGTCCGGGCGCTGCGGGGGCGTGGGGGGCTGGACTGCAGCTCTGGCCACAGCTCTGGTGTCTGTCTGTAGTTTTAGTCTCTGCTGATCAGAAGCCCGGGCTGTCGTAGCTGCTGCGGCTGTAGGAGCTGTGGTGGCTGCGGGAGCGGCTGCGGCTGCGGCTCCAGCTGCGGCTCTGGCTGCGGGAGCGGCTCCGGCTCCTGCTCCGGGACCGGGTCCTGGACCGGCTGCGGGTCCAGCTACGGCTGCGGCTGTGGCTGCGGCTGCGGCTGCGGCTCTGGCTGCGGCTGTAGCTGCTGTAGCTGCTGTAGCTCCGGCTGCGGCTGCGGCTGGACCGGGACGGGCTGCTGTCGTAGCTGGACGAGGACGGGCTGGGCCGGTAGTAGGGGATGGGCCGCTTCCGGGCGCTGGAAGGGGAAGGGAGACAGCAGGGGAGGAGAGCGAGGTTAGCAAGGTGGTGGGATGCTGAGGGGCTGACAAACGGGGACGGTGGCGGTGGGTTTGCGGGTCTGTGTTAGGTCGAAGAAACTTTGTTATGATCAGTGCAGAATCTGAAAGAGAGGGGATAGGAGGGTGTGAAGAATCGGCTCACACAGCAGAGAAATGCGTGTCGTTAGTTGAAGCTCAAGCTTAGATCGCCTTGTTAATAGCCACCGTGGATGTGAGTCCTGGAAGGTAATTAGTTATTAGATCCCAAAAGAACCTCCTGTTCTCAGCGGAGGCCGGCATCCAAACAGATCGGCAGTCGACGGGGCAGATAAACGCTATCAAGGTGCCCCCGCTGCTCACGCCTCCTCCTGCATGTGTGCATCTGCCATGGAAACCCACGGCTCGGGTAATGAGCGGAGCGTCGGCTAAAGCAAACCTTGATAGCGTTTTAATCTGAGCTCCTGTGTTACAACGTGAGCTGGAACCACAGCGGGGTGTGAGCCGGTGTGAGTTTCAGAGGCGAGATGGAGAAGCAAAGAGAGGAAAAACGGGAGGAGGCCAGGTTTACTCAGGGGAGCTCTGATGGTTTCCTGTTCAGATCAGCTTCTGGGGTCCCGCTGCATGGTAACTGTTACCAGGGTAACCAGCCAGCAGCATCCTGTTCACGTGGCGCGAGGACCTTTAGGACTGCAGTAAGAGAGGAAAACGGGAACAGGTTTGACTCTATGCGTGGCCACACCTGGGCAGGAACACTCCCCGTCTCTTCCTGTGCCAGAAGGCCCTTCTGTTTCAAACAATGAGAAAACACGTTGCTGGTAGAAGAGTGAAATGTTTAGGCAGGCGAAAGGGACGTTTTAAAAGTGCCGATGCCCTCTGAGTGGAGGAGCAATCACTTGATTCATATTAAATGGAAAAATAAATGAAACATTAACTTCAGATAGACTTAATAAATCAATTATATCCTTCTCTGGTTTAATCATACTTAACTTCTAATTCCTGTTTCTCTGCTCAGCATATTGTAGCTTTATGTCTCTCATCCTGTACAGAAGCACTTTCTTCATTTGTTTGTCATTTTCATGTTTTAAATTAAATGTATTAATGTCAAGAAACAACTTTACTAGAAGATGAAGAGAACTGACACAATTCAAAGGACCACTTCTAGTGGTAGTTCAATAGTTCAGGGGATCTGCTTGTGAAATTTACAGAGACTAATCCAAAAAGATTTGATAAAATCCAAATACAGAGGTTGTGAAAGAGTTACAGTAGCTAACAGTAATGAGTGAGAACAGTGCGAAAAAAGTTCTCACAGCAAGGAAAGAAGTGAAAGTGGGATTGTCAATGGAAGGAATTTCCATTTCTGGTCTGAAATTTAACACAAGAATTCAAGCAAAGTGAACCCTGGGTGCACGGTCGTTATCCCTGAGACTGTTGGCCTCTGTTGTTCTGTTTCATTTCCTGTCTAATCATGAAAAATAGTTGAAATAGTTTCAGTTTGATGACATGACCGCTGGGAGTTTTTCAGCCTCCACCGGCTGGATCACATTGTCTCTCCTCATTTTTCTTAACTTTTCCATGTACCACAGCAGCACATCGTTGCAGTGAGAGGCTGAAAACCCAGGGTCATCTTTTGACCCTGATACCTCAAAGCATTTGATAATTAAATGCCACGCCTAACACCAAATGTCAACGCTGGAGCTTTGGAGTAAAAGCCTCCCGGTGGGGGACGGCTGGGACGGTATGGAAAACGGTTACCTGGTGATCCTCCGCGCCTCCATGAAGCTGGGGGAGTCTCTCCTCCTCTTCCGGATGGGCGAGTAGCTGCGGGAGCGGCGGCGGGCGCGGCTGTCTGTGTCCGAGCGGTTGGCGCTGTCCTTCTCCCTGCCGGACAGACGAACGGCCGTCACCGGAGTAGAGAGGGAGCCCATAGGGGGGGTGGGTGATGGGGGAGGGGGCGGGGCCTCACCTGGAGGTGTTCTGCCGGCTGTGGGGGGACTTGGCCTTACTGGGGGCCAGGTCTCTGGAGGCGGAGCGCGAGGAGGAGCGGCCGCTGCTCCAGGAGCTGCTGCGCTGCCGGACGTCGGCCTTGCTGCGGCCCTCCTCGCCCTTCCTGGCCGGCGGGTGGGCGGGGCGCCCCGGGGACGGCGAGGGGCTGCGGGGGTGCGCCTGACCCCGGCCGGGGCGCCGCCGGCGCTTGGAGGAGCGGCCTCCTTTTGACCTGAGGAGACAGGCAGCACAAAGCGGACAGGGTCACCGGCGTCCTCCTGCTGGGCCCCCACTCCCTCCCAACGCGAGCCTCACTTTCTGTGGCGGCGGGAGCCCCTCCCTCTGTGAGCGTGGACGTGCGGCGAGCGGGCCGAGTCGCTGCTGCGCGCCGGGGAGTGGGGGCTCTTCCTCGGGGCCCTCTGGCCCGCCCGCTTCCCCGACGTCGGGGTCAGGGAGCCCCCCAGGGCCGGGATCCTGCCGTCCACGCAGGCCTCCCCCCCCGCCGCGCAGACGTGTCCGGCCGGGGTCCTGCCGGGGGCCCCCGGGAGCCTGTGCTCTCTCAGCAGAGCCGACTGGACGCCCGCAGAGCTCGCGGTCAGCAGACGGAGCTTCTGCAGAGAAACGACCACCAACAAAGCAAAAGAAATAAAGGAAAGAAAAAAAAAAGAAAAAAGGACAAAATGGGAATCAGAGTGTTTTCACGTTGAAGGCTGAGAGCTACGGTGTACTTGCCAAAAGAAGGTAAACATCTAAAAGAAAAAGGTCTAGGTTTTCTCCATATGGCTTATAGATAGTCCTCTATGGTGCAGCGCATGCAATACTTGGCATGCAAAACCATAATGAGTTGAAGAACCAAAATTGCAAAAAACAAACAAAAGAACTAGGAAGAGAAGGAAGAGAGGGAAAAACAAAACAAAACTGTGAACCAAAAAGGTTTTAGAGCAGAGGCAGAAAGTACAGAGCTACAGATTTGGAAAGTAGAAAAAGAGGACTTCTTTATTTATTCTTTTCTTTAAATGGCTAAAGAAATTAAACAATAACAGAAAGAGAAGACAACTTGACGAAACATCACAGAAATGGAAGGAACAAAATAAAGATCACAATTATCAAATCAATCGAATCAGAAAAACAAATTGTCTGCTACTCAATTTTCTCTTTGTGGATTTATTATTTTTTGCCCTGAAGACATTTGCTGAGATGTGAACAGCGACCCATTGTCTTTGTTTTTTAAAACGGTTACTCTTGTTTAACTCCCTTCTGGTTAACATCCACTTACCAATAAAGTGGTATTCCCTCCTTTAGTAGGTAAGGTATGAAGAAAAGGGAAAAGTGGGGCAACATAAGTGCATCATTAGATTCACAAAATGCAAGAGAAAAAGACACAAAACCCTTCCCTGCCAGTGACTCATGAGACAATGCATGGAAATCAAGAGAAAAGAACTCAAAAAAGCAAAGAGGAAAACCACAATGTGCAGGGAGTCCCTCACACAGAGTAAATCCTCCGGAACCTGAGCATTACAGAGCCACCAGCCGGTGAGACTTGGGGGCATTTTTCTTTACCTTTTCCTCTCCATAAGGCCTCTACCGTGGACCGAGTGGTGAACTACCTGACATGTGACTGCCTGTGCTGGGCTTTTGCGCTCCCTCACACAGGACATTTACAGATCTTACAACAGCGAGGTTAACCTGTTTAATTCCATACAGCTGTTGCTGTATAACATCAGTGGGCATTAAAACAGATATTTTCCAGGCTCCCGCCACATTTCTTCATAGTCGGAAGAGTCGTGAATAAAGTCATGGATAGAGAGAACCGTACAGCTAGCAGTTGTTTGAAAGGATGAGGGAGGCATTGATGTACATCTCAAGAAATATTCGAACATTTTCAGAAAATAAAAAGACCAAAACTAGCAACTATTTCTACTGTGACACGCTCGTTATGTCACCCACAGCGCTGTCGCACGTCCCAGAAAAGTTACCGTCTCTTCTGTAGTCTGTTTTTATGATGTCAGATGTCTTTAGGAGGAAGAATATACTGACAAAGATGGTGAACTGTGTAATGGAGGTGTTTGCATTCTTAATGTATATGAGCTACAGTTCTTATGGAAGCACTTACAGCATCAGCTTTGTGTTGTTTGACTTCTTCTTCTGTGTAAAGACAGGATTTACTGTGTGTACCAACACAGCCGGGTTACCCATCAAGCTGCTCTGGACCGCGTATTTTTCTTTTGCCCGACAGCAGAACGTCTATATCATTAAGCTTTTATGACGGCAGTCATCGGTCAAAAGCCTCCATGCAAGTGACTTAAAGATGGTGTTTGTGAGCACGGCTGTCTTGAGATGTGTGATTGTGCCACGGCATCTTCAGCCTTTAGAGTCCCGTTACTGTGTATGTACACTGGGCTGAATGCTGACTGGGCAAGAAAACACAGACAAACATGTTGCTAGCTTTGGTCTTTTTAAGAGTATTTTGACGGTAAGAAATAAAGTGATGCCGGTGTTATCCTTTAAACAGTCAGTGTCATTAGAGTGAGTCAGTAGGAGTTATGGGACTTGCGATGGACAGTTACACCCTGCTCATAGCAAACAGGTCATAAAAAGAGGGCAAACCTCCAAAAGGCATTTTAGAATGAAAGCAAATGTAGCTGGCTCTTCAGCATGCATGATCGAGTGCTGTGTAAACTGCCCTGTAACTGAGGTACAACAAAAAGCACCGACTGAGAGGAGCCGTTCTTCACTAGGACAACTGAAGCGGTAGAAGAAGAAGACACACAACCACTGGTGCTTATGACAGTTGTTAGAAACAGTCGAGGAAATCAACATGGTGAAAAATCATAAGACGAATGTTCTAGTTCACCAACAAACAGAGAGATGCTGGACAAAACAGGAATGCATTCTATCAGAACAGAATGAAAAGAAAAATGGAAAGAAATGGACCTGGAAGATAAAGATAAAGCGGGATACTGGACTTCAGAATGAAGTTAAGGAGGAAAGAGAAAAACCAGAGCTCTATGTTATCCAGTCTTTTAAAGAGTCAAATCAGTTGATCAAGTCAATCAATTTGGTTAATGGAAGACCACTGGTAAACAACAGAAAGAGAGAGGAAGAGAGAGAAAGAGAGAGAGAGAGAAACATTGACGTCACTCAGGCTAGGGTGCTTGTCACATTCTCATCTGCATAAAGATCACGTGCGTAGGCAAAGCATTACCTACCTTCCATTTCAATCAGTGACACGTATGCAATATCAACAAAAAAGGAAAGAAAGAAAAAAAGGAAAAAAGGAGAAAGGAATGTTCTCCGCAGCGAAATGGGAAAAAGACAATGACCTCTTTTAGTATCAAAGCTACATATTTAGTCCAGAGACCGAGGAGGTATGAACCAAAACAAAGTAGAGGGGGAGCAACGGAAATAAAAAACCAAGATGGAGTTAAAAACCAAACTAAGATCAGAAACAAAGGATGACTTTAAACACTACATGATTTGCTTTGTCTTTTTCGCTTGTACAAATGCAGCCATATTTGTATCAAAACAGGAGAGGGAGGAAAGAGGGAGGTGGACAGAGTTACCGGTAATCGTTTTATTAGTGGACGGAGGAGGGATGGAGGGAGGGAGGGATGGAGGGAGGAGGGAGGAGGGCATGCAGAGCTGGCTGATGTTAAAGAAAGATAGAGAGGATAACGAGAGTGAGGCATGAGTCACACGGGACACAGATGAACAGGTAGCAGAGGGGGGAGGGGGGGCTGGCAGAATGGTGGAGGGGGCAATCACTGCTAAGATGGACAAACTAACGAGTCAGCACATTTGAAAGGGACCCCAGTCACATTTAGGCCCGGGTCTTATCCAGCAGCAGCAACACCTCTCTACTCTGCTTTATGGATGCTGGCCCAGCCTCCCCCCCCTCCAGGAAGGGCTCTTTTTATTTATTTATTCATTCAGTTATTTATGAACATGCATCACTACAACAGCTTCAGACAGAGGGAGCCTCATGGAGCTGAAGTTCCACCTTTTAGTGTGGAGGGGGACTTTACTTTCAAAATGGCTCGGGTCCCTTTTTAAAAACAACAACCGTGTTGAAGAAAAAAAACGTGTGACCTAGTTGTTTTATGTACTCGTGGTTGGACACATCCATTATTAATGAGCAAAAAGACAACTGGCTCTTTTTTTGGAGTCCTTCCTCCGCTGTGTAGGAGATAATGATGGATGCCTCCCACAGAAAAGCTCAGAGCAGATTTTTAGTTGCGGGGGGTGGGGGGTAGTTAGTCCTTTAATCAAGTTTTATCTCTGGAAAAAAACGTGGTGTCATACTTGTGCTTAATCATTTGTGTCAGTGACTGAGCTCGTTGCTGCCCCCCTGTGGCCGTAGAGAAGAAAACAGCCTGACCTCCATGTAAAAATATCTATGCAGTCCTAAAACCTGGACAAGAGTAGTTAATGCACAAGTGTCTGTATAACCTCTTATTTTCTGTGTATCCTGGTGGCAAAACGTCCTCTTTGTTGCACTTTTCCATTACAGCAACTACTGTTTCTGGCTGTTTGCAGCCAGATTTTGTCAGAGCAACCTCCTGGCAGCTAATGACAGAAAAAGAGCAGTGGGCTGGCTTTAAGTCTGCAGTTCAGATGAAGGGGAAGATTGAACTGAGCTGAGAAGTTTAGCATCTTGCTGAGCTTGCCCATTGCTTTCAAATGGAAGCCGATGATTTTGCCTGCTTGGCTTTTGTGCTGCATGACTGTTTACTTTTGTAGTGCCAGCCGGCACGGGCAGCTTTCGGCCGGTCGGTTGCTCCTTCTCATCAGCAGAGGCCCGTAATAACTCTCTTTAAAATCCTCTGCTGTGGTGGATGTCTCTGCAGGGAGCAGCAAGGAGCCATGGACGAACATTTCCAACACCACATGTCTCTTTTTCAGGAGAGAAGGCTCAGAGAAAAGGGAAAGGCTTGTTAGTTTGCTCATGAGTGCGCGGCCCTTGCCTCAAGCTTTTCTGTGAGGTCTCTGAAGCACTTCCTCCCACACAGTGGATGCGAAAGTTCCAAACAGGGCGAAAGGGCGGCTACAGGAACACAAACGGAGTTGATAGAGAACCAGAGCTGCCACACAGAACATGGCCTACGTCACACGGCTGCAGCAGTGAAAACAGACTCCAGTCCCATCCAGGATTGGCCGCACGCGACCATCTTTCTGTGAGTGGTCTACGTCTGGAGACTGGAACGTTTGAAACGTTTGATCTTTTTTTACGGGGATGCACAGAGATGCTGCTTGAAAAATGTATGAGCCAATTTCATACTCCTGTTCCCAACCCAAGTAATCAAACAGACTTTGCTTGCCATTTTCCAACTGGCCTGAACACAAAGAAACAAACAGATCAGAGACAGAGTAGATACCGCCACCTAGGGGCAACATGCACACTGACATGGTAGAACAAAAGCAGAAGAGAGGAGCATGTGTTTAACCCCTGATGGTTTGGCAGGAGCTGTTGGATGCCTGAAGGAGAAGAGGATCTATCACTGAGCAGAGCATGTGGTTGAGAAGAAAGACAACTGTATTGACAAGAAGAAACTATTAAACATACCCAGTTAACCTACGTGGTCCAGTTCCAAAGCATTTGAGTGCTTTTTATGTAAATGAGACAGAAAGATTTGGGTATTTAATCACGGGCAAATATCCGGTAAACTGATAAGTGAAAAAAAAAAGGCAATGAATGAAATAAGCAAAGAGAGAGAGAGAAAGAAAGAGAAATAGGGATCAGATAAGAGCTCATAGACACATGCAAGCTGGAGTAGAAAGAGAAGATATCAGCTCTAATGAGTAAGTGTTTACAGGGGGTGCGCTGCTTAGTTGAGGAGCATATGTACCAGAGAGGGTTTAATCACAAGTGCTCGGTGTTCGATCCCCGGCGAGTAATGTCTTTTGTTTTATTCCAGCATGATCCGTCAGCCGGCTCAAGCTCTAATGATCCATTTGTAGTAAGGAGGAGCAAGTTGTTTCCATAAAAGCACAAATCAGTTTAAAGCTAATGGCAGGTAATCAGAGCCTGGCAGAAACAAACACAGAGCTGTGTCAGACCAAGCAGAGGGGTGTACCACAAAGCAAGAGTAATGGTCTCACAAGGGAGGTTAACTGTAGCCAGATTGGTTCTTTAACCTGGCTACATCCCCCTGGTAATATCGGCTGGACCCACTACCTCCTCTAGAGCAGTTTAGGATTAAAATAAACCATCTTTTCCCTTTTTCTTCTCCTGCTGATGTCCCAGACAGCGAATTCAGAATGAAATCAAATTCTAAATATCGTCTTGTAGCAAAGATGCTCCACAAGCGATGGGCTTCTAAAATTATTGATGGGAAAATTGGAAAGTTAATTTTGATCTGAAATGCCCTCCAGTGAATTTAGACTTTAGGCATTTAATCTTATCAAATCTAATTATGATATAGGGACATCTTTTCCAGCATCTTAGCTAAACAATTGTTGGTAAAATGATTAATAAAACCGGTGGAGCTATGCATCAACCTGTCAAATAAGCATTCAAACATCAGAAAAAAAGGTCCAGATCTCTCTGCTGTAGGAGGCTTATCTCTAAAAGAAGCTTTAGGTTTAGTTGAGCCAGCTGAGAAACAAATCAACAACTTTCTTTGTAGTACACCTCCTCCATGGAGAACGTCATGCTTTAGAAGGAGTATGTGGGGCCATTCTCATAAAAAGAGCAGAGCAGTAACCTATCAAACCAAAATGTTACATTTGTGGCTGTATTGGTGTATGCAGACTTCCATTAATAAACATCCCATTACATAAGGTAAAATTGTTCAATTTTCTGTTTTTTAGGAGTTTTATCCACAGAATAATCATTTCAAATATTCAATTTTGTTTGGGGTGCCTCTTATATTCTCTGTTTGTATTTATATTCCACCACATATTTTGCTTCCATGGAAACGGGGGACTTTGCTTTTCCATTAAAGTGTGAAACAGGGAATGTTTTAAAAGGTCAGGCCTGTCTCTTGTTCAATCCTCCTTATTTTTTTAATGTATCTTTGCATTATCAGGCAGCTGCTCATAAGACTTTTTTACATTCATCAGGAGCCATTTTGTGCCAGAATAAACTCTCCATTAAGGTGTGGTATGCTAATGTCGTGCTTTGACTCAGAGGATGTGTGCTGAAGAAAAAAATAAAGATGTTCCTGCTATTTGCTCCCTCCCTCTGTCACTGGTAAAAAAAAACTAAACTAAAAAACAATCAAACAAACCAACAAACAAAACAAAAGAATAAGAAAAAAAAAATGAAAAGAAATAAATAAGATGGCAGAGGAGTTAAAGAGAGCCAGAAACAAAGCAGCAGCAGGAGCGTTTTACACAGGGGAGGAGTGTCTTCTGCATGTCAGAAATGATACTACTTAGAATGTTAGGAAAAGATTAAACCAAATCTTTTAGTATCTGGAGGATGAGAATTCATGTAAACCATCACAAGAGAGCAAGTCAAAGGTTTGCTGATACCGCTAGAGTGGGTGGTGGGGGTGGGGTGGGGTGGGGGGGGTAAAGTAGCGGAGCCTACATACATCATTCCCTTTCTCGCCCTCGGCGTGGTGGAGTCGGCCGGCTTTGCCGTTGCGGCTCCGTGGGGTGTGCTCCCCGTTGTGCCACGTGGCGGGGTGGTTGGGACCCGGGGACAGCGAGGTGCTGGACGCCTTCTGTCCGTCTGTCTTGTGCTTGGAGTTCAGTCTGGAAAAGCGCAGCCACGGAGAGGAAAAAATTCAAGCGGACTGGGGGGGGGGGGGGGATGTGGTGATTTTCTCTAACAGAGTGAGATATCACAGCTGTTTGAAAAGGAGTTACGGCAAGACAGCCTATTTGTGTTCTAATCTAGCCCACCAACACAAAATGAGAGGCAGTTACCAGGGGAGACACTTATAATAGAGCGATACTTTGCAGGAGTGTGTCTGAGTGGGTGTGTGTGTGTGTGTGTGTGTGTGTGTGTGTGTGTGTGTGTGTGTGTACCTGGCGGGGGATCGGGAGGCGCTGCGGGTGGAGGACAGAGAGGCGCTGCGGGAGCTGCAGCAGCTGCCTTGACGCTGGGAGCTCCTGCCAGGTGTCTCGCCGGGGGACCTGGTGGATGACAGCAGACGGACCAACACACACACACGCACGCACACGCACACACACACACACACGCAAATTCACGTGGGCACAGGCATACACATGGGGGACACACAAAGCTTAGCGAGCTCAGTAGTCTCTGCGGTGACATGAGAAAGCGGCCACGCATCAGCAAACTCTTTCAGCATCTTTCTAATCGGCTCAAAAAATAAGGTTGGCTGAAATCACGCACAGTTTTATGCTCTTTCCGTTCAACGTACGCTGGAACCATGGCCGCACAATGCTACTGTAAAGTCACGAGAGACTCAAAGTGACTCCAATTGTTCCAATTGTTGAGGACACTATGCCTCAGCGCCTGCTCTAATGAGGACAGGGGACATATTTGCAAAGCTAAAACTCTACAAGCACAAAGCAAACGTGTGTTTAAAATGCAACAGTTAACCTGCTAACGGGGCCCTTCATCTACTCCTTAATGAGATGTACCAGAAATCTGTACCAGAGTCTGTGCGCGTGTCTCACCTCTTTTTTTGTTTGTTCTTGTCTTTGTGTTTGTTTTTCGGGCTGCCCGACCTGAAACAAAAGTCAGAGGTGGGGAAAATAAAGCTGCACATTCCGGTTTGGACTGATGTCAACCATTCGGTAGAAATGTCACAGGAAAACAGGTGGTATTTTCTTATGTCATACACACCTGTATCGTCTCTTTTTCCTGGAACCAGACGCAGATCTGTGAAAACAAAATCATTAATCATACTCATACTCATACGGACCCGAACGATTAGGAACGTGCATTCTAAAGCAAATGATTCACGAAGGAGCTTCAATGAGGACCTACAAATCTTTTCATTTATACAATGTTTTTGATTAAAAGTGGTTATGGGAATTGTTTGGAAAAAGTCCCTGGAAATGTGCAGCCTCTCATACAGGTGAGCTCTGCTTAGCGAACGTCAAGTTAGATGGACTTATTTCTGTTGAACATCTTAATGTCAGTTACGTGTGGAACTGCCAGTCAGCCCTAATGATATCTAATCACGTCCCTCTGTTAATGATAGGCACAGCAGGTTTGACAGCTGTTGGACTTTGTGGCTTATTTAAAAAGCTGTCCGATGTAGAGTCCCAATCTGAGCGACTGGGCTCTGTATTGACGGACACCCTGCCTTCCTATCCTCTATTTCACCCTTCAGCAGCAACTCTGCTGATTAGAGAGGCCGGTCGGCTTCAGAGATTTCTTTTCCTGAGCATCCCCCCCCCCGCTGCGTTACACACCTACAGAGTGGAGTGGGAGGGAGGGAGGGGCGGCACACTGCCAGCTGATCTGCTGGGATGGGAGTAATAAAGCTGTCACAGTAACATATGTGGCTGATCGGGGACTCGGAGCCGCCGCGCATTTCCTCACAAAGACGGAGAAGGCACTATTGAGCCTCATATGGGCTCAATAGGGCCTTCTCCCTCGCTTCCCAAACAAACTGAGCGGACGGCTCTGCGCTCCAGCAGTCATCTGGAAGCGAGACGCAAATGCCAACCGGCAGAAATCTAACAGGAAAGCGCCCCGCGGTCCCCCTCCTAATATGGCTTTTAAAGAGAGCCATCAGATGGGGGAGGATCTGTGGGGAGGAACCCTGCATGTTGCCCCACCCCTGCCAGTCCTATATATTATTCATACATCAACAGTACCTGCAATGCAGAGCATCTTAGGAGCGAGGCGGGGAGAGGGTGGGGGGGGGGGGGGGGGGGGAGGTGGGAAACGGGAGTGGGGCAGCGC